GGCAGGGGGGGGCTGCGGGCGGGCAGCGCTGCGCCCCTCGCCTCTGCTCCGCGAGCAAAGGCGGCCCACCCCAGCACCGCCAGGCACCTCTCCCGCCCGCAAAATGCTGTCAGGGTGTTTAAGCGTCAAAGACAGGGATAATCATAAACCTCTCAAACCCGACGGGGTTTCATCTCCCTCTTTCGCCGGCTGCAAACCCCCACGCTCGGCCACGCGGTGTACGCGCTCTCCCCTACGCTCGCCCCCCAAAAAAGACAAACGCTGGGCGAGAGGGCCAGCTCGGGCAGGGAGGGGGAGCGGCGGGGCTCCCCCCCCTCGAGCCTCGGGGCCGGGAGAGGGGCGAGCTCCCGCCAGCCTCGTCCTCTTGGCCTCACCTAATTCCGTACTCGCAGAACGGCAAAGTGCTTTCCAACACGGCGTTAACCACGTTTTTCCAGGTTTATTTTACTTGTTATACACAGACGATACAAACGGGCAAAAACCGAAACGTTTCTCAATGGAGCATGTACTGGTATAAATTATTCAGTTCCACAGACGTAACAGAACAAATATAAAAATCACAACATTCGATTTACAGAAGAGTCAAAAATATACACACGTTTATGACCCTGAATTTCTATTAGGAAATTTCCCCGTCGAGTGTAATCTAGACTGAATATTTAGCCTGATGCATATTTCAGTTTGTAATTGTGTGGTTTTTTTCCCATATAAAAATGCGTTAATTGTACAGATTTGCTACTCAAAATTCGAAGACTTACTATTCTGCTTCGCCGGGGGAGGAGACCAGGAGGGATATTAGCTCTCCTTCGTTAATATAATAACAGGTTCACAGGAAAGATCGCTCTTACTTTCGATGTGCATTTTATTCCCCAGGAAGTCAGATCTCGGTTAGCTACTTTATGAAAAAGTCAATTCCAAAACTAAATGCAGTAAAATATACAACTCACAATTCATCTTCACTGGACTACACTATGGTTACCAACAATTCAGTCGTCTATATCTTTTTTTTTTTTTAGATTATTCATTACAAAGATTTACAGCAATATAAAGAAAGAGGGGGAAACTGCAAAGAAATTTGAAAAGAGTTTGTCAGCATATTTGGCACCTGCAGGGACCAGTAATGGATTTGGCACTTGGGGGCGGGGGGGGGGGGGGGAGGGGAATACCACAAAAATAATAATATTGCTGATGTCGAGCTACCCCTCTTAAAGAAAAATACAGAGGCAGTTAATTTTGCTTTTGGAAGGCGTCATGCTACTTTAATCGACTTTCCTACGAGATGTTATTTCCGTTCTTTTGAAGGGAAAGCTCAGCTATTCCTTAGCTGTGTCAGCCCAGGGCACAGCGTAATTATTTCATGCGAGGAATTGCAGAGAAAGTGAGAAACCCATTACTCGCTGCTACGGCTACGGACCACCCTACATTTCCAGAGGCATCAGAAAGAGTGTTTACCCGGGGAGGGGCAGGGGGAAGAGGGAGCAAAGAGGGGGGCGGGATAAAGAAATTTAAACAATTTAAACAGGATCTAACTTTTGTAACTTAACAATGAAAAAAAAAATCCAAACAATAAGAAGGAAACAGAACCAAAGAGAAGTAATTGGTTACAATAAATTAAATACTAAAGAAGGAAACAGAACCAAAGAGAAGTAATTGGTTACAATAAATTAAATATTATATACAGGCATTTCACAGGCTCTTTTTCCCCACTATTACTGTTATCCCCTAGTATCCATCCGTGGTAAAAGGAAGGAAGCGCTGTACGGTTTGAGAGAGTCTAAGCAT